ATACGCAAGCAGTGGTCAGTCCTCTTAAAGTCCTCTCAAATCTGTTTGGTAATGCGAAACATAAGAGCTATAAGAAATATGAAACTGTAACACAACACGATACCTAATTCGCAAAGGGTATAAATATCAACGTGATAGAAATGTGAAAACGTGTGAACTATAAATAACGATAAACAACTTGACATCCATGACTTGAAAAAAAAAAAGATTCAGATCGAAGATTAGCGTGTTAATCTGGTTAGCGTTTGCTGAATGCTGTCTGGAATCTGGACTAGAATTGGATTGTTGAGATACTGTTGAATACCTTGTTGCACACTGGTATTCGAGCTATGAAAATCCCCCCAGTAGACGGTTCTAAGCACAGCCATATTCTCTTGTTGCAGGACAACTTCAGTGCTCACACCCCTCCTGATGGTTCCACAAACATCATTGTTGAAAACTTCAAACCTAATCTCACAGCTCATGTCCAGCCAGCTGACGCCGGCATCATTCAATGTTTCAAAGCTCATTATTGTGCCCACTTTGTCAATTGTGCTGTTGATTGTTATGATTGTGATGTCCCTCCTGCAGAAATCTATGATCTTGATATTCTTGAGGCCTTATGGATGGCACACACTGCATGCAAGGAGGTTGACACCATTACTATTCAAAACTGCTGGAAGAAGACTGGTAATCCACCCGATGAACTTCTTCAATCAAATGACCCTGCTTCTACTCCATCTCTCCCTGTGTCATCCCTTCTCAATATTGAGCACCCAGAGCACATGGATACTATCAACGCAGTAGATGCTGAGCTTGAAAAGGCTTTATCCCATCTGGAGGAGTATGGAGTCCTCCAGCACAAGAATTGGATGGATATCAATGAATTACTCAACCCCATCAATGAGGACAAAATGTATGTATGCTGATGGAACCAAGGAGGTGGAGGTTGAGGCAGATATTTTCTCGACAGTGGTTGAAAGGTGCACGGAGAACAGGCAAGAGAAGGCTGGTGATGCTGTGGATGACAGCAAACTGATTGATGAGAGACCATCACACCAAAAAGCACTCAACACTGTCTCAACTATCCCCAAGTATGTCTCTGCTATGGAGCAGACATATGTGCATCAATTGGAAGGTATTCTTGCAAGCTTTGGGCACCAAACACACCTGGAAGAATTCCAGTCCCTTTGCCTACCACTCTCAATCAAGATCTCACCAAAAATTTGTAGATTGTGATTCAATGATGTATTAGTCTATCAACAATCAAAATCAAGCCTTGATAGAGCCCACTCTTATACCCAACAGCTTTTCATAACCAATACTTTTTGGCTTCCATGAAGAGACCATTGATTATGAGAAGTTTGACTGTAACCAAAAGGCATAGCCAGAAGGGAGCAAAAATTGGACAAGGAAAGGATACTTGGTCAGGACAACAATCAAATCATCATGTGCCTAACAATATCACATGGGAGCAAAAATCAGGGACAAAATTTGGCAGTTGAAGAGGGAGTAAGGCCTCAGCTACTTCGTAGATTCCAGAACCAAGCTCTTGGATTGTAGTTAAAGGCTGGATCTGTATTGTTGACCATAGTCATTAAGGGATAACCCATTTGGTTAATACTGACATTCGAAAGCCATGTCAGCTGACGAGTTAGTTGGTTGAAGCTCCACGTATATCTGTCGCAGCAAGTTCTATGCAGATGGGACAGGCCGAGATCTGAAAAGCGAGTAGCTGAAAGTGATGAGTACCAGAGCTCGGTAGTTGAGAGATCAGTTCAACTGGATATCCGTGGTTTCAGAATGAGAACCACGGAATCCAGGACAATGAAAATTGTATTACGCATCACGTGGGTGTGGCTCGAGTAGAATAAGGAGACTGTGGCACTCCCGCCACTACGCCACAACGCCACTACGGCTGCTGCAACGTTATCAAGTACGACACCCATAATCAATAACAAAAGGGTTGGTGCCGCTATTTGATATCGTCATGTTATGTTTTCCAGGGGATAGGTCGTTCTTGTCGAAAATTGGGATCTGTGTTGCTTTTGAGTCTGCGAATTCATTACTCATAATGTCCCCATCAACAGTGACTGTAGAATTGCCATAATCATTGCCCTTGGAGCCATATACTGCGATGCCAACGCCTTAGAATGTCAGCCTCATTGTCGCTCCAGGTGTGATAGTTCTTGTAAATGTCATCCTATGGAACCTCGAGATACGTGTTAGAGCAGTCATTCAAGAAGTAGGCAAAAGATCCCATACTTGTCAGCACCAAACGGTAGTGTGCTGTTGTCCGTGGTGATGTTGTGGTGTCTCCAGTCATTAGGTGGATCATATGTGATGAGAGGGCTTTGGTCGTCGACAACAAGCAACGCTGGTGGATCGGCCATACTTGTTTACAGAGACGAGGGGCGAGTATGGTTCAGTGTGTGAAAGAGAAGGTAAAGTACTCTTCTAAACATTGATAACGGGGAATTTGGATACTAGGAACTGCCAAGGCAACAAGCATGCTATGATCCCGATGGGTTGATGCAGCATACTAGCAGACACAGGATAACAGCCAGAAGGTATTTAAATACTACAAGGAAAGATCAAGACAACAAGCATGACGATTTACTATGTAGCGAGCTGAGACAGGTAATAGCACAACAATCGCTCTAGCATTAGAGATGAAACAGTCATTAATTGGTGAAGCCTGAGCGCTGAGCGCTAGGCTTTGATGATTACCGTGAGGAGATGCAGAATGCATCATCGAGTCCAACGTACATATGTCCGAACGTCGGGTATTCAATGTTTCCAGCGGGGTTAACGTCGATTCGTTCCCGTTCGAGCTCGAGCTCGATACAATGTGCATGTCCGAGTCTGCACTGGCATGGATAGATACCTTCCTCTCCCGTCCACGAATAGGGTATCCATGTGTTCCCGCAATCAGTGCACGTCTGTATGGCTACATGACACTCTGTTATCAATGTGCAGCTATCTCTGCCTCATTTGAGCATCGTCCGGATACTCATATGATCTTTTATGTTACTTTCTTCACCCACAAATGCGATCGTGGTTACGCGCGATAAGCGCGCGTCGGAACTCGGCATGGCTACACGACGCTATGAGTCTCGTGTATTATCCTTGGCGTCAATATTTTGAACGTATAAAACTATGTTCCCCGCTTTCTAATCTCACCTTTCTACTCACGAGCACATACCAATGATAAATTTTTTTGATGACTTTGAACATTTGATGTACTCGAGATATCCTTGGATGTCCGAATTCTGCAGGACTCTGCTGTCAAAGTGAGGACTGAGAACTCTGAGCAGCGGATCGGCTTGACAACAATTGAGGGCTCAAACTCATTTGTTTTGTCTTTCCTTCTTGAATATATCTATAACAATAAGAGTGAACAAGAGCCTCTCGGTGACTCCCGGCGTCTAATCTTCCAGTGTGGCGCTTACTCGATGGTCCGGAAAGTTGACTCGTTTCCTATATTGATAAAAAACAAGCATTAATGGGTGCTGATTATTGCCCAGAGAAAAGATAATTGTGAGACCGGTAGCTAGTCTTTGAAAGCCCAAATGTAACAACAAAACAGAAAAAAAACAGGTATCTAAAACACAATTCTAGGAGCACGGAGATAACTAGTCCCCGGGTATACAGCCATGAACCCATAGAAAACTCACTACCTAAACTTCCTCACCTTCCGCTTCGCATCTCCATACGCCTGCTCATACTCCCTCTTCATATCAGCCTCAAGCTGGTTCGCAATCTGTCTATATACTTCCGTCTGCATTTCGCCCAGCTTATTGGCAGAGAGGGTGCCAATCTCGTGTTTACACGCGAACATCGTGAGGAACGCCACATGTAGCTCTCGTTTATCCCCATGGGCATGAATGTGCGGCGGCAGGTCACGAAGGGATCTAACATGCCGAACGAGCAGCGGTACTCTGACCCTGGTCGAGTTCGCGTCTGGTGCGTGTTCTAGGTCCTCGTACGCCATTCGATAAGCCGATACGAGTAATTCGAGCTTGATCCTTTGGTATATCAGATGACCGGTGATGTCTTCTCTTGAGATATACTTGTAATCGAACGCGGGGTTGAGATCGGGACACCCGTCGTGAATATTGCCAGAGAGTTTGATCATCACGTTCTCCATTGTCCATTGCGGAGGACTTGGAGTCAAACTTGTAGCGTAGGGCACGTTAATTTTACCCTTCGTTTTCGAGCTAGGCTTTGATGAACTTGGGCCGGGTGGTGTGAACACGCGGTCATGTGGTAGTTCAGCGTGGCGTTGTCGCGGAAGTGGGGGAGGAGACTTTCTGCGAGTCGAAGCTCGGATCGTCTCTGTGGAGTCGCTTCGGGAGAGTATATGGTAGACATTGGAGAAGCTTGAGTTTGACGTTGGACGGTCAGTTGTAGCATTTACACCAAGATCAAGTTCGGCGAGGTCATTGCCACCTTCGTCGGATAGGCTCCAGTAGTTGAGAGACATGATCGAGAGGAGGGGCTAGATACTATGGGAAAACAATAGCCGGGACATATATATAAGAATGGGATTGTAAAAGAGAACAAAGAGCCATGAATGCCACTGTGAACAACAATACACAGCTTTTTGTTGGGATCTCCTTTGCCTACAATCGGCCTAATGAAATGTCTTTGGGAAACGTGAACATAACCAGAAGCAGGATGCACAGTCAGCGCTGAGGAATAACTGGAAATATGAGGAAGCTTCACAAAACAAGAATAAAGAAAGACAATCAAGTTGAATGTGAGGCAGGCATTGATGATGATTTGATCGACGGTAGAGAGGCGATGCCAAAGCATCGGCACTGCTTGGTCTATAACTAGTACTAGTAGTGCATGGTGTGTATGAAGGGATAATCTTGTGCATGAGGGATAGATAAGAGACTCACGAGTGGCTTCACTCTGAGACTGACGTTGAGAGTACAAGGCGTAAGATAAGGCAAGTGCACAAAAAGGAAATAGAGTCGTCAGGGACTGAAAAATCAGCCAATGAACTTGTTCAATGACAACTGTGAGGTTCGAACTCACGCCCTTGCGGACTGGATATAGGAAAGAGAACCTAATTCCAGCGCCTTAGACCACTCGGCCAAGTTGCCATGTTAAAATAGAAACTAAGGGCTTTATGTACATTGCCCCCATCCTTCCACGATAATTTACAAGGGAACCGTGTATATCTTATCTACACAAACTTCGCTTCGTAGTCCCATTCCTGAAGTCTGAGTAACCATGATATACGTCCGCTATCCCGCCAAGCCAAATGCCGCCGATATACGACCTGCCGCCAGGCCTCGGGCGCCAAGACACGGTCCTGCAGCAATTGTGAATGTCCATGTATGATTTGGTGCAGCCAGGTGACGTTGATGGCACCGGTGTATACTGGGGATGCCCAACTACCTGGCTAGATCTTTCTTTTTTCAACAGTTTGAAACCGAACGCTCACGAGGTTCAGTAAAACCGACGCTTGGATTGATGCTGATATATATACAATGCAATGTCGCAGATAGTAAGATTCCAGATCAAGAGATCAACTCTTCCTTGAAGACTTCGACAACACCGAATATTATGAGAGTAGGTCACATGCACTTAGGAAGAATATATAGACACATAGCAGGTTACTCCAATGCGACCATTCCGGGTGTCATGCATCGGAAAACCCACCGATTCAACACTCGACATATATGGTGATCGTAGAGCAAAAAATGAGCTTCTTTATGGTCAAAAGATGCTTAAGCATCCCATCTGTAATCCTTTCTGTAGAAAACAAGTGTGATGAGAGAATTGAGAAAAAACGTGGATACGATGTGTGAGTTTCTCACGTGCTGACGAGGCGAGAAGTGGCCGTTGCTTCGCATTCTTCATCGTCTTACCTTCCCTTCCCTCAACGACGTCCACAGCGGGCTCGTCCCCTTTCCTTTCTTCAGGCCATGGCCTCTAATACCACTCAGGCGACTGCCTCTGGCGACCTCGGCGACCTCGTATCCTCGTCGACCACAGCAACCATTTACCCATCTGACGACGCTATCCTTGCTGTCCTTCAGGCTCGTTTTCGCGCAGATTTGCCCTATAATAGGATAGGCGCGACCAATCTTGTTGCTATCAATCCCTACAAGGTCCTCGCTAACGTGAACGATATCAGTGCGAAGGAGTATGAGGAGCGGTGCTACAAGGACACCAGTCTTCCTATGGTAGACTCACCCAAGCCTCTACAGCCCCATCCATACGATTTGGCCGCAAAAGTGTACCTCCTTATGCGACGCAGACAGGAATCGCAGGCTCTTTTGGCAAGGTGAGTACAGTGTCGTATTATACTGCGCTGGCTGGTTAAATTTCTTCAGGGGTATAACAGGGTCTGGCAAAAGCTCAACCATTCGTCTCTTTATCAATCAGGTTCTGCGACTATCGACGCACTCGAGAAAGGAGTTCAAGGTTGCTGAGCAGATCAAGGCCGTATGCACCGTTCTCGACTCCTTCGGCAATACCAAGACCCTTATGAATCCTAATGCCTCACGCCACGGCCGTTACCTCGAACTACATTTCAACGAGAGGGGACGTATCAGCTCATCAAAAGTTCTTACATTTGCTCTTGACAAATCCCGACTCAATCGTCTCACCCATGAAGAGCGATCGTTTCACGTCTTCTACCAACTTCTCGCCGGAGCCACCACAGCAGAGCGTGATCAATTCAACCTTGAAGATCCCTCTGACTATGCCCTCCTTGCATCCTCTGGAACCTATCGTCTTCCCTCTGGCCCCTTTAGTGACGATTCAATAGGCATGTCAGACCTACGCGCGTCGATGCGTACCCTCGGCTTCAAGCAGAAACACATGTCTTCTATATTTAGTGTCCTCGTCGCCATCCTTCTCATGGGCAACCTGGAGTTCCACGACGGCGATGCACACACCGTTTCGGCGTATATCGCAAACACACAAGTCCTCGATCAAGTCGCGCGCCTCCTAGGCACAACATCCGATGATTTGAGCCAAATCTTCACGAACAAGACTAGCTACGTTCGCAAGGAGCTTTACACCGTGTTACTTAGTGCCGAGCAGAGTGCTGCGCAGCGTGACCAATGCGTGCGCGACTTGTATTCCATCCTCTTCGCTTTTGTCGTAGAGACAGCCAACCACAGGCTCTCCCCAAACGCCAAGGATCCTCTTCCCTTCACCCAAATCATCACCCTCGATCAACCTGGATTCCAAACGCGTGGTCCATCCGGTACCAGCTCCATGGCACTTACTGGCACAGCACCCCTAGTATCCATATATGGACAGAACACCATCTACGAGTTCTTTATCAACTTCGCCGACGAACTTCTGCAATCTTATATCCTGCGGAACACGTTCGAAGACTCTGTGGGATACAATGCCGCAGTTTCCAGTGATGGAATTGCCCTTCCATCGATCGCAACGATGGATAATGGGGCTTGCATCGAGCTTCTGCGTGGTGCGCAGCTCAGTGAACGGTCGCAACGCAAGCCCGGTGGATTACTTGGGATCTTGAATAAGAGTAGCACGGCGTTCAAGTCTGGGAAGGGCGGGGATCATCGTGATGAGGATATGCTCCAGGAGCTTGTCACCAAGTTTGGCGTTCATGCTTCCTTCGTTGCGAACCCTGGCCACGCATCTGAAAAGACCCTTTTTGGGATCAACCACTACTCCGGCCCCGTCTCGTACGACGTCACGAGCTTTGTGGAGAGGGATAGTGATCTCCTCGACTCGGCTTTCGTTACGCTCCTACGAAACTCTTCCGACCCCTTTGTTGCGAAGCTTCTTTCTGGACCCATTCTTGCCGCTGAGCGCCACCACAAGGACGAGAACATCATCGTCCAAACCCAAGTCTCGTCAAGGCCACTACGACAGGCTACACCTATCCCCCTTCCCAATGGTGAACTACTTGAAGAACATCCCCACCTCGACCCGAGCAAGACGTACCCCGTGACATCCCAACTCAACTTCACCATGTCTGAAATCTTCGCTAGCCTCGACCGCACACATTTGTGGAACCTCGCCTGCATACGACCAAACGACTCGGGCTCGCCAAACTCATTCGACAAACGCCGTGTCAAGACCCAGATCCGATCGCTCCTCCTCCCGGATATTACTGCACGCCGTAGCACCGAATATGTCGCGGACTACGATATCGTTGCGTTCTGTGAGCGGTACGTGCCCACCATGCGTGGGTCAGACGAGGAACGGATCACACAATGTGCACGTGCGAATGGATGGCGCGAAGGCACGGACTTTGCGCGCGGGAGCGGACGCATATGGCTATCTTATCCAGCGTGGAAAATGGTCGAAGATACCGTGCGCGCATCGGAGAAGGAACAAAAGCGGTCGCAGGACGACGAGGATGAGGGGAGCATGCTTCCTGACGACGGGACGGAGTATACGCACCCAGAGCATGCTGGACTTGCACCTGTGCCGACATCTGGATACTTCAACGAAAGCGCGGACAATTTGTTGTTGACGCGGACGGGCCCCGATGGGACAAGGTACCAGGATCCGAATGCGGAGTATGGTGGTGGGGGATTGAATACACCTACTTATCATGCACGTGGGTTTGGCGGTGTTGGCGGCGTTGGAGGGAGTGGAGAGGGGTGGGATGAGGATAGTAAGGGTGTGCCGCCGTACTCGCCGAACGTGAACAAGGCGGAGGGGGACCTCATTGTTAAGGACGCGCCGAACGCAGTGGAGCAAATCCCAACGACTAAGACGCGGAGGTGGTGGTTGAGACTTGTGTGGTTGTGTACGTGGTTGATACCCAGCTTCGCGCTGAAGTACCTTGGTCGCATGAAACGTCCAGATGTCCAGATTGCGTGGAGGGAGAAGGTCGCTATCTGCTGGCTTATCTTGCTTCTGAATGGGATGGTTTGCTTCTACATCGTTGAATTCGGTCGTTTGCTCTGCCCTAATTTTGATAAGGCTTGGTCACTTAATGAGGTTGCCCAACACCAGGGTCAAGATGACTATTGGGTCACGATTCAGGGTGTGGTATACGATGTGTCGGACTTCGTGTTTGGGGACCACAGCGACATCATTGGTGAACCCAGTAATGGCGCCGATACACTGTCTGCTCTTGCTGGCCAAGACTTGACACAGTATTTCCCTGTTCCTCTTACCCTCGGATGTGTTGGCTTGGTCGAGGATGCTACGATCACCCTCCAATATAAGAACGACACCATTACGCAGACTCTAGCAGTGCACAAGTCCGGAAGTCTGGCTACTCAGTCTCCGGCACTGCAACAGCAGGATTGGTACATAACCAATTTCTTGAAGACGATGAAGGAATTCAAGAAAGGCCCTCTGGTCTATGATACGAAGCTCATTCGAACACTGGCTGCTGACACTGACATTGCCAAGTATGTATTCCGAGATGTTATGGATTTCACACATCGACTAATGACTTCTATAGAGTTTGGGCGGTTTGGGATAATGTTTTGTACGACTTGACGGATTATTTCCATACGCAAAGTCTATTTCCTACCGATCCGACGTTCTCCTTCCTTAACAGTGATATCACCGACCTTTTCAAGCAGCGCTCTGGACAGGATATCACGGAACCCTTGAACAAGGTTCTTGCAACCCTTGACGCTACCACTGTCCAACAGAACACCGCATGTCTAAAGAATGTGTTTGGTATTGGTCAAAAGGATTTCAGAAAGACAGCGCGATGTCAGGTTCAGAACTACCTCCTTATTGTCATGTCTGGTATCTTGATGGCATCTATTGGACTGAAGTGTACGTTGTCCTTAGATCCTCCATGATCTAGCCGTTGATATAATCAATGTATTTTCTCTTAGTCTTGGCTGCACTCCAGTTTGGAAGCAAGCGTCAGCCCGAACTGCAGGATAAATTCGTGCTCTGCCAGGTACCATGTTACACCGAAGGCGAGGACTCCCTCCGGCGTACAATTGACTCTCTCGCGGCGCTCAACTATGACGACAAGAGGAAACTGATATTCATTATTTGCGACGGTAACATCATTGGAAGTGGTAACGACCGGACAACGCCTCGCATTGCTCTTGATATTCTAGGCGTGGACCCCACACTTGACCCAGAGCCATTGCTCTTCAAGTCCGTCGGTGAGGGTTCCAAA